ATCTTAAGCTCAACAGAAAAGCATCTTGTCTTTGTTACATGTCTAACACTGACCACTAACTCTTCCAAGAAACTGTAGATTAGACTTGCTAATGGTTTTGAATTTGTGCTTTTATAGTTTATTCTAACTCTTGGCTCAAACAGCTTAAATTCCCCACAGATGGCTAGAGTAATTTGATTTAAAAGGTACCATAAAAATATACCAAATATTGTTGTGTGTTACCCAAAATTTACTATAAACATTAACCAGAAATATGTGGTGATAGAACAATAAAAACAATAACATTAACCAAAAATATGTGGTGATAGAACAATAAAAATGTAAAATTTCCCTATTCTTCCTTTTGAATAATGACCTATAATCAGCAAATCACAGAGTATCTCTTCAAAGAAATTTAGTGAAACATAAACCAAGTGAAAATATGTCCCAAGAAAACAACTGTGCTTTATGTTTGATGTAAGCTCACTCTCTGTCTACCTACCACCCAACAAGTGAAGGAACGAAGAAGTGGCACAGAATGTGCTGCCCAGGGAGGTGGTGGATTCACCATCCCTGGAGGTTTTGAAGCTGAGACTGGATGTGGCACTTGGTGCCATGGTCTGGTAACCACAGTAGGGTTGGACTTGATGATCTTGGAGGTCTTTTCCAACCTGGTTGATTCTATGATTCTATAACTGTACCTTACACCCACAGATGACGTACCTGACGTTTTGTATATTTATTCCTGGACAACACTGCTTGCCTGGGTTCTGCTTGGTGCAAATTGTCACTATGGGCAAAGAAGACTTGATTTGTCTTGTCTCTTAGCTTGGCTGCTCCATACAGCAAGGTATGAAGAAGCAGCTATATATATAGCAGCTTCATAATTGTCTGCTGCTATGTTATGATCCCTGTGGAAAGTGATCTGTCAATCTCTTCTTAGGGATAATGTGAAAGACTTGATTGTCCATCTGTTTCTTGTCCCCCTGATTAGTGCACTGCAGCCTGGACTTCCACCAAGTGCCAAGAGAACAAAAGCAGAACATGCAGCTAGGAGAGGCCCTTTGCTGACTCCAACTACAGCATCTGCTAAAGTGTAATCAAAGCACTGAGGTGTTTCATTAAGGAATTTACATTTCCTACTGCACTGACAGTCTCTTCTCAGGAGGAACATCTTATAAGTGAGCACAATACCAGTACTCTTCATTTTATTTCTTAGAGGCAGGAGGTAATTGCTAAGTACAGGATATTTCACTACCACTCTGTTTACCTGGTCACCTGGTTCTCCTTGAAAGCCTGTAATTCCTCTAAAGCCCTTTGGTCCTGGGAAGCCCCTCGATCCTGGAAATCCCATCACACCAGGGTCACCTTGGTCACCTGGCAGTCCTGGAACACCATGCTTCCCTGGAAACCCTCGGGTGCCTCTGAAACCAGTATTGCCTTTTTCACCTGAAGTTAATTGCAGAACAAGATAATGACTATAAAGTCAAGCCAATATTTGATGCTTATTTTGAACATGGCTCTGCTTTCACACTAGCATGCTAGTTTAAGAATCTATCAACACAGTAAGGTTGCTGGATGTTACTGCAGCCATGAGTCCACACCTGTGAAAACCACCAGTGACTTACTGTGAGGGTGGTGAGACACTGGCACAGGTTGCCCAGGGAGGCTGTGGCTGCCCCAACCCTGGCAGTGTTCAAGGCCAGACTGGATGAGCCTTGAGCAACCTGATCTAGTGAGGAGATGTCCCTGCCCAGGGCAGGGGTTGGGACTAGATGATCTGTAAGGTCCATTCCAACCCTTCAATTCTATGGTTCTATGATGACTTATACCAGATGAATGTGGTTGTGTATCCAGGGCTTTATTTTATGAGCTTACCTCTTTCTCCTCTAAATCCATTCTCACCAGGAAGCCCTGGGTCCCCCATTTGTCCTTTCTCAGGACGGATGTTAATGCAGCCACTGTCTCCTGGGGATCCTCTTTCACCTTGGAACCAAACACAGGGAATGTAAGTACATCTTCATGAGTGACATGTCCTGAAAATTAATTGTAGTAATGACTTCCCTAATTGAGTAAGCCTTCACATACAGCTGTGGTTCTCAGTTGTTTCAGC